CGCGGGCCGGGCTCAGCGCCCGGCGGGGACGGCGGGGACGTGGCTGATCCCTTCCCTCTGCTCCGAGGCCCCGCTTTTCCTGTGCGAGCCAGCAAAATGGGAAATACAGCCCCGCGCCGAGAGGTGTTCCCTCAATGCAAGAACTGAGAGAGTATGAATCCATACATCACGTCCATGTTAAGTGCACGGCACCCCTGCAAAACCCACAAATCTCACACTAATGCCTAGCTATGGCATTACCTACTGATACAGCAGAGCATATTTAAAATATGGGCGTCAGTTCTCACCCCTTTTGTTCTTTTGGGGATTTGGCGCAGGCACAGACAGAAAATACAGGTCTCAGGATGTATAGGGAGTTTTCCCGGCCTCCATGAGGGCTGGGGAAGCTTTCGCATCTCGTGTTTCAGGCTGAAAGCCCACAGGATGTCAAACTGCACATGGAGCTGGGAAATGATGCTGCTACGACGAGATGGGTGATGCCCTCAAGTCCTCAGTCTCTCCCTGCTTACTTCACCTCCACCCCGGTGCAGCTTTCACCAGTCAAGCTCTAAGATCCACGTTTCATCTCTCCCAAAGAGGCCCCGCAGTTTGCAGGGGACAAGTAAAACTGGCCGTGCCCAGCCGCACGTTGCCGGCCTTGCAGCCGGATCGGTGCCCGGGTCCGGAGCGGTGGCAAGGGAGAAGCTGCGGGTGGGCTGCGCAATGAGCAGGAGCAGCGCTGGGGTGGCAAACAGCTGCCCGACACCTCCCTGAGAACGGCAGGAGGGAGCCCATCTGCTGGACGGACTGCTGCAGCCGGCTGGGGCAGCATTAGCTAAAAAGATATTGCAGTAAAGGAGCCCTGTTTTGGTTCATCTATGTCCACAAAGTGTTCACCTACCAGAGCAGCCAGGGCTGTTTCTCAGCCAGCCTTATTTTCTGTATTACTCAGGTCTTACTACTTCCGTTTACGCTAGCTGCAGTGATCTATTTAAAACATGTTTGTGGTCCTCCTTCCGTTAAGTCAGAAGCCTCTAACATGATTCGTTCATGTGTGTCCTGAAGCCCTCCTAGCAGACCCAAATTTCCCTCATCTAGGTGTTCTTTCTTCCTCCGTGTATTTGGATCCCAGGGGAGTCTTTTCTGTGATTCTTGTGCAGACCAAAAGGCTCCCGAATCTATCTGAGTGCCTCCAACAATTCTTCTAATGTGCTTTCCATAGGCACCCTGCAGTGGCAACCAGCAGATTGTTTTGCTTTAGTTCTGCATTCAGCTCTTTCAGGGGGCTAAGATGCTACTGCTATCTGTCTCAGCAGCTCAGTACCATGAATGTGACAGACGCTCTAATCATAACCTCAGCTGTTCCTTTGTAAAGGTGCATGTTGAATTTTCAGATATATGAACACTTTCCTTGAGTGATACAGACTTTTTAAAGCATATATTTCACCCCGTTGGCTTGTTTAATTTTCAGATGACAGCTTGCTGCAGTCAGTATTTGCTGATTCCAAAAAGGGAAGACATAATTTCATATTTATTTAAGTTGCGCAGATGTGAATATTTATTTTGACACTGAAAATAAACACAAAAGATGTGAATGGTTACCTCTCTCTTTTACTGCCGTGGAGTGGTGATGATTTATTTCCACAAAGATAAGAAAAGGCAGTAAAGAAAACTGCAGCTGCAACGTCTTTGCTAGAAGTTGGAAAAGGGTGTTATTTTCTAAATAGTACATGCTGGGAATAAATATCAAGGTTCCAATAATATCTGTCCATAGAATTCTACCCAGACTGTGACAAAATATTTTAAAAATTTTAACAACATATTTCCCTGTGAGAAACATATATCTATACCTCATTATTTCCAACATCAGACCCTTACTTTATTGGTATACAAAAATAAAAAAAAAAGATGAAAACAAAGGTAAAGGATATAAACCTTTTACAAAAGACAAATGAAAATGATTATTTTTGAAGACAGACTTGCTCTGACAAGGAAGGAGAAATAAAGGAGACAGAAAGGAACAACAGCAAGAAAATCTTCCTGTTTGTTTACCTTTTCACGCTCATATTGTGGTACCCCCCAGCCATGTACTCAAAATTGCAGCACTTTTAAGCTTTTACATTAAGATGGGCAGAGCTGCTGTTTTGGAGACCTAGATGTGTGGGGAAAAGGTTTGCTGGGCCATGGTTTCTGTGGTGGTGGTGAAGCTCTTGGTCTGCACTCCCTGACCCATCTGAGTCCAAGTGCTGGAGCTGGCAAAGCCATGCACTTTCCATAGGGCCTGGAAGCACTGAGTCCTCAGGGGACACACTGAAAATCCAGGACACAGAAATATTGATGGGATTGTTTTGACCTCACTAAATTTATTTGCACTTGTGAAAATTTATTTCAAAAGCGAGCTCTGTCTGACTCTATCTAACCTGACCTCACTAACGTAGTAGCAAAGAACTGATACCAAAACCCACTGCTACACAACAGTGCTACAGTTCAATGAATCACAAGTGCTGTAACTATGTGATTACCACTATTTTTAGAAGACGAAAAAAATCAAACAAAAGAGTTCGTTATTTTTGGAGGGGAAAAATCAAAGAAAATGGTTCCCTCCTTCCCTTGCTTTTAATTTGAAACACTTCTATACAACAAAAATGAACATTAAAGATAAGAACTTTAAACATAGTGCATTAGCAAATGTAAACCAAATCATTTAATTTCAAAAGGTGCACAACAAATGATGGGCTAGGGTCCATTTAGCACAGAGCCAGAGATGAACAGATATAAGAAGAGGAGCCTCTATAGCCTTTCTACAAGTTTAAATGACTCAAAGGATAGTACCTTACTGAGCTCAGCCATAAAATTATCTGCTGGAAGTTACTGAAGTCTCATGGTAGGTAAAAAGGTAATATTTTGTGGTGACACAAATGCCAACTTGTGATTTTTGACTTTCAGCTCTCAGTTGGCCATTTGTTTAATTTCTATAAACTGTCTCGAACAGCATGTGAGCATTTTATAGCAAGGGTCTCTGAAGAGAAAAGCAGGATGCACACTTCTAATTTAATGTGAGATTAGTTTTTAATCCGTGGGGATAGATGTAATCTCACAGCGAGGGGATGCCTGCACATGGGGGGGACGAAAGCCAGGGAACCCCTAGGGAAGGCACCTCTCCAGCAGTGAGCTGACCAAAAGCAGTGTTGATCTGGTGTGTCACAGCGAAAAGCAACCAAGGAAAGATGTGTACAGAGGTATGGACTGCTTCATGTGGCCAAGGTGTTGCAGGTTTTCTCTCTAATCCTGCAAAAACCCCTTTGATTTGGATTGGCTTCTTTTAGAAGATAAGATTTGAGAGTAAACATAAGGAGTAGTAACAAATGACCCTTGAGTAGAAAAGAAAGCAGCATATTAACTTGTAATGACTGTATGGGAATTTCAGGTACAAAACAAAAGATGAGGCTAAAATCCTCCTTTCAGGTTGAAATGGGTAAGAGTAGTACGGAAATGATCCTGCATGCAATGTGCTGAGTACACTTAGCGAGTCACCTTCCAGAAATACATTGAAAAGTTGTCAGGAAAAATGACTGATTTAATGAACTGTGTCAACACATTTGCAGAAAGCACCAGATTATGATTTGTCCTGTGTTAGTCACATTTTAAGCAACTGAAAAATTGCTTTTACAGAAGGTATTAAACTGTACAATGTTATCAGCTTTTGAGATACTTATCTATTTTGAACAAAATTTACTCAGTTCTCCTTAGCTGTACTTCAGACAGTATTGAAAAAAGAATGTACCCACACAACTAGGGGATAGTCTCCTTTCTGCCCATTTTGCCTGAATGTTTTCAACTGTTTTGATCAACCCTTTCTAACTTTAAAATCTTTTTTTTTCTTACTATTTGCTCAGCTCTGAGGGAGGACAAAGGAAGGGCTTTAAGGCAAGGCACCCGAAGCTCAAGGTTAATGAACACATTCTAAGTGGTTCAACGGGGAAGTCTTATTGCAAGTGGACACGAAGAAGCAAATAGCATGGAAGGATAGGAAAATGAATGACCTCGTGGGAAAAAATGCATTCAACTTGATGATGGCTGAGGAACTGCCCAGCTATGTCTCTTGCTTCTTCGTTGAACTTGCTTATCACATCATTCAGATAAAGATTCAGATGGAGGTGGAGGGGGAAGCAAGTACCTGAAGCCGAGTGCTGCTCGCTCTGCCCCTGGACAGCTGGACCCCACGACAGGCCCTGCCCAGGCTCAGGGTTTGTAGGAGTCGTGGCTGCTCCGCCTGACCCCATCCCTGTGGTCCTGGCTGTGCTGAGCAGTTACATATGAGGAGAGCCCTGCTTTCAAGAATGGGTGCTGACAAAAGATTTCATTAAAAACAGGAATTCTGTGAGGCAGCTATGGAAGCCTCATTTGCTATGGATTTTTGTTGCCTGGAAGAGCCAGCCGAGGCTTTCCCAATGGCTGGGCACTTGTTAGGGCTTGCTAGAAAGCAGGGTGTTGCAGCTGTGCCATGTGAGCTCGTATCGCAGTCTCTTGCTGCCAGGCTGCACACGCAGCTCTTCCCTCTAGCTGGTGCCTGCCTCAATGAAGCTTCTTACAGAGTCACCAAAAAAGCGCCTTGCTTAGAGGTGACTGAAGCTGGCCACGCTGATCAAAGCACTTCTCGGTAGTG